CCCCAGCAAAACGCAACCCCAGGTAACCAGTCCCGTTGCTTATCCCCGGAAACGTAAGGGTTGCATAATTTTGTCTTATTACGATACAGTTCCGTGTCTGGACGGTCCGGGTACAGATTCTCTAAAGAAGTAGAAAGCTCGACAAAGCGACAATCTAGGGGAAAAAAAAAAAAAAAAAACTCTGAATCTCTGATCCTTCCTTATACCCTTGCTGGCGGGGTGTCAGTTGATAAGCGGGCAAATTGAATCCCGAACAGAAAAGCCCAGGACACTGTGCTATACCTGCTTCTCGTTGGGGGGGAAAGAGGGGCGCGGGGGGGCAGGGTGGGGGGGAGGGGGGGGTTTGGTTGTCATCCCATTCCACCAATTAAACCATCAGTTCACACGAACCTAAGTAGTGCTCTTACAGGTATACACGGTAAGAGATTTTCCATTCGGCCCTGGGGCGATACCAAAAGCGGCAGGCCACTTTAAAAGGCCTAGTCTCAGGCTTAGGCACAGGCTAGCAAGGTAGCGTCGTCAATTTAGCCTCGTGTATAAAAATCGGGCGGGTGGTTTCATAATGCAGGCCCACAAGGTCAGTCACTATAAATATAGGGCGGGCTCGTCGTACAGTCAGAGTACAGCTGCAATACCGTGATGGTAGAATTGCATCTCGGCGGGGGGGGAAGGGGAAGGAAGAGAGAAAAAAAAAGGGGGTAAAAAGAAGAAAAAAAACGTCATCTCGACTGCCGTACGGCCTCCTGTTTCTTGGCAATGAGCCTCACTTTCCTTGATGCCAGGGGTTCAACTTTTTGTTTCGTTTTTGAAGGTTTGAATATCCCGTGCGACCCCAGCTGGCGAGACTGACTCTGCAACGGCTATTCGAGATTCCGTCTCTCAAGAGCGAAAGCGAGTGAGAAACACTCCCCTCCCTCTCGCTGCACATTGAGAGAGAGAGATGAAGTGCGAGAGAGAGAGAGAGAGAGAGAGAGAGAGAGAGAGAGAGAGAGAGAGAGAGAGAGAGAGTAATGACCATGAGAGCTGCAGATGGGTACTTAGGAGGTATATCGCCGATGTATCATTTGATATTTCCATGTGTGCGGGCGTAGTCGCACTGACTTTTTTATTTGTTCTATGTGATTGATGTTCTCCACGTTTGAGAGCCCACCCTCTATATCACATTTGAGCTCCTGAGGTGCTACGGTATGCAGAACACACTGTGTTTTCTTCCACAGGGCCCTGAAGACAAGCTTCCATGGAATGGATTGGATCGTAGGACATAGGTCGCGTCCTGGAACACGACTTCTTCCTTCCTTGTAAGGCGCAATTCTCATTTGAGAGGAAATTAGACCTCGTATTGTCACGGCAAGGAAGGCTCAATTCTCAATTGAGAGGAAACAAGACCTCGTATTGTCACACAGGGTATGAGAGGAAGTTGAGAGGGGGTTTCGACAATACGTCAGACTCTCCCCTAGGCCTCTGTGGGCCTCTCTATGGACTTAGACCAACCCAACTGGGCCTAAATCTTCACCCGAATAGAACGCCGGGTCTATGCATTTAGACCGGCTGGGAGGCATAATTTCATTGACGTCAAGAATAAGATGTAAGGAGTGTGGAGATTCACAGGGTTAGAAAACCCGAATTGCATAGAGTCGGTCTAAATGCATAGAACCCTGCCGTCTTCACCCAAATAGAACGCCCGGTCATTATAGCCGTATCTGGACTGAAAATTGCACCAAATACGGCTATAATGACCTGGCGTTCTATTCGGGTGAAGACGGTAGGGGAACCGTACTGAGAACTGGCAGGTTTTCTGGGCGACTATGCCTGGATTTGGGTACCCACCTCAGGCCTGGGTAGGTGAAGATTTAGGCCCAGCTGGGTTGATCCAAGTCCATAGAGAGGCCCATAGAGGCTTAGGGGAGGGTCTGACGTACGGTGCTGAGTCCTGACAGGCTTTTCTGGGCCAGCCAGGGCTGAATTTGGGTACTCCAGGACTGCACAGGGCAAGAGTCAGGCCCAGGCCCAGTGCGACCTGAAGTAAGAATGTGCCAGAATGCGATTTGGGCCACAGATCGCACACACATCTGATGGTCTAGACGAAGTTTCTGGATGACCCCTGGTAGTGCGTGCAGCGCCCTCGCAGCCAGCCACAGGCGCTCAGTGCCCCAGTCAAAGCAATATATATCCGCTGCAAGTCCAGTAGCGAGGTATTCTGCCTTATGCTCAGCTCAAGTGCTGGAGTTGTGGGCCATGCTGCCCAAGTGCCCCTAGATGGAGAGGAGAGGGAGTTTGGGCAGGAAGCCATACATAGCTGGATGTGGTAGGCGATCGCCATGACTAATAGGGAAGCGGGAGGAATAGGGAAGAGGAGAAGAGGAAGGACTTGGACACTCGGGCGAAAAAGTAGAGGCCTGAGGCCTGAGGGAGGAAACTCATCTGGTGAGTGGTGGCCCTAGCTGCATTGAAGAAGCTTACTCCAAGACTACAAGCAGCCAGCATTTTTTCTTCAATGAAATTTCGTTTCTTTAGTGTTCGAGAGGCCGGAGAGAAGATTGCATATTGGAGAGAGGAGAGGAGAGTCTGCCATCGCTAGGATGGTTGTGAGGTGCTGAACTGAGGGAGAAGACTCTGCCTGCAGAGGTGAAGAGAGAGAATGGAGGATATTGAAGAGGTGGAGGAGATTGTGAGGAGTATTCTTTGTGTCCCAGTTCCTTCGCCTTGGGTAGTTGTGTGTGTGACATTTGCTGCTTCCATCAACTTTTGGGAATCCAATTCTACAACTTTTGGGAAGCCAATTCACAAATCAACAGACAGACTGTGGGAGAGTGGCCTCTTGTATATGGGAAAACATAGATGCGAAGCTATTTTTTACCACCCCAGAAGATGCCGACAAACTTGTTCTGGACCAATTGCAAAGGAAAATCCTAAAATAGCCCCTCCCAAATGGCAAAAGAAGCCCCCCCCCACACATGCAAATAAACTGACTGGAAGAACCTCCTTCAGATGCACATCTAGCCTACGAGTGAAAAGAAAGGAATGAACCTTCCTTGATTGGGAACTGAGGTAGGAAGTGAAAAGAAGCAGAGAGGGTGTTTATTGGGGGGGGGGAGGAGGGGTGGGTGGGTGGACGGTCCTGAAGTGTCCCAGAGCCATAAGGGAATGCCTACCTACTCCCGGTAGACCCCCAGAACTGGTTCTAACAGCCAAAGTTGTGGTGTGTCCTTCTGTTGGAAAAAAAAAAGAGGGCATGGGCAACTATCCCCTGCACCTAGCCTGTATGCCGTGGCATGCAATGAATGTGCGGTCTGATGCTGTAAGTTTTCCTCCTGGAGATAGATGACAAAGAAAAGGAGTATTAAATCTTGGTTATCTGTTATCTTTCAGGTGGTCGGTTCTCAATCGACAAGCAATGGAGAAAGGGGGAGGAGCAGGAGCAGGAGCAGACGTCAACGTAGGGGTGCTTGGGTTTCTAGGAAGTAGTGATTTCGGCGGTAATGAGGATGGAAAACTGGCTCTCAAACAGGCACAAGTAATAGAACGGCAAACAGCGAAAAACCAACTACGGCAACAAGAGATTGCGCGAGCTCGTGAAGAGGCTGCAAAGTCGTCCAACCCTGGAGAATCGCCTGCTGCCTTCCTCGACAAGTTCTCCGCAGAACGCTGTCAGTTGGAAGTGGGATTGCATGCACTGTCCGCTAGGAGAAGAGGAGCAGCAGGGGAAGTTGAAACTGACCTTACTGGCCTGCAGCAGCAGCAGCAGCTAGCTGAAATGACCGACTCTCTGACGCGATTGAAGGAGTCGCTCGCGGTCTCGTCGTACTTTCTTCCGCGGTTTGACTTACGGAATTGTCAAGCCGCCGTGTCAAAGCTTGAGGAAGATCTTGCCGCGGCTGGCGATCAGATCGCCCCGAAGAAAAAGTTCACTTTTGCCTCGAAGAAAAAGAAGGGTCCTGGCAGGACAACTGCGGACGGGTCACAACCACAGTCCTCTCCCTCCGTGGCAGCAGAAAAAACATCTTCAGCACCGTTGTTTGTGGCGGCATCGTCACCTCGCATGACTTCATCTGCGTCTCCGACAGCAAACCGAACAGATAATGAAGCTAAGCTGGGTAAAGGGTTGACAGGGGTGAAAGGGGCAGTGCTTGTCAAGGATAGCGATGACCTTGTCAGTGGGGACTACACCCTGGCTGATTTGGTCAACTGCGACGTGTACCTGCGCGGCACTCTGAGCGCGTTGTTCATTCACAACCTGAGGAATTGCAAAGTATATTCAGGTCCAGTTACGGGTGCGGTCCACGTCGACGGTGCCTCGGGATGCGTGTTTATGCTGGCGTCTCATCAGATCCGGATTCATTCGACGAAACAGTCAGATTTCTATCTTCGAGTTCGAAGCGGACCGATCATTGAACATACTGCAGGTGCCCGCTTCGCCCCGTATGCTTTTCGTTATGTGGGGATTGAGGCAGACTTGCGCGATGCGGGCCTTGCAGATGAGATGGGTCTGTGGGAAAAGGTGGAGGATTTCGGATGGTTGCGAGCAGCCAAGTCGCCCAATTGGTCTTGGATTCCTGTCAGTGAACGCCTGCCTCCTGTCGATGGCTCCGAGGTTGGTACATCCCAGTCCAGACAGACATTGAGCAGCTGGTGATCGACCGGGAGACAGGATCCTTACAGCTCGCTGCTCTGCCTATTCGTTGAAACTTCTTTTATGTGTGATGTGGGTAGCTCCTGTTGGCAGGTCTGTCATTTATGGCATGGCTGTATATGATTTTTTTTTCTTCACAATGCATCTTGACAGTCTGTGCTGGGAAGATCTAGACTAAGTAAAGGATTGAAGCACCAGTACGCGGGCCTGACACCTCAAATTCTGGAGGTGCGAAACGAAAACGCCACCGCCGATCGAATTTATAAACGGCGGGCCCAGCGTTTGACGTTTCGGCCTCGTTTTCTTGTGGCGACAAGTTTCGGACTGCAAGGCTGAGGGCCTGAGGCCGTGTGCTTGTGGTTTAAACTACTCTTTCATTTGGCGGACGGCTCTTCGTCTCTCCGTCTTACTGACTGCCGCACTGGAAACTGAGGTGAGATGGGAGTGGGATTTCAACGCTTTCCCTTTTCCTTTAGTGGCTGCCTTTTTATGTTGGCTCTAGCGATTTGTGATTTTGTGCACTTTTCATTGCCTCCCCTTTTCTGTCTCCTCCCTTCTCTCCTTGCAGTTGCATGTTGTACTCGCTGCGGGTTTAGTGCCGTATTCATGTAAGTCGTACTTGCTGCGGGCGTACTGCCGTAGTTATGGTCAGGTAAATGTCTCACAGGTCCGTGACACCGCTGGTCTTTTTCCCTCTTTCCACATAGCAGATGTCACGGGTCTTCTTTGTGATCTTGCTCTTCTGCCGTTGCAACCGGGAAACTCTAGAAAAGGGATAGTGTAGTGGGGAGAGGTCATCTTCGTCCACGAGGGGATATACCTGGAGATAGGGAGTATGTTGGTGGATGACCCGGGTACTGGTATGGTTTGCGGTCTCAGCATGGGCACCTGGATACAAGCTTTGTTCATTCAGTTCTAGCAATCTTCCCTTTCGCTGTACTTGGACTTTTTCTTCGCCGAGGTTCATCCCAAATGAATGGTCAGAGGTTCTAATTCTAATCGGCGTAATTATCTCTAAACCGCTGGTACATTGCCCCATCCAGGTTGGTAATCGCAATTGAGCCTCTCCGGCAAAACCGGAGGCTCACGCCGCACGGGCCTTTCGCCAAAGCTTTTTTATTTTGCAAAATACCCCTGTACAGTGGGAAGGAATCTGCCTCTTACAAACGAGGCTTGGATGTGCTTGTGGCCACCACTCCCCTGGATGCATTTTTATTTTGGGGACCGGTAGCACTGTTTCATGAGAATTGTTTCGACCTACCAGGAGCACCGTTTTGGCAAAAATGAAAAAAAAAAAAGAAAAAGGAAAAACACCGCACTAATGCGCCAGTTTGCTGCGATAATTTATTCGTATCAGGACTGGGCCGGGGCGTGGCCGGTTCTGACCGGCCCCGTTCAGTTTGAGGCTGTCCAGCTGGAATTCCCGTTGGGCCCTGACAGTGGGGTCCAACTGTGGTCTTGAGAGCAATCAGAATCCGCATTGGATGCAAGGGGGTTAGGAGCGGAGGAAGAGGAGAAGAAAAAGAGGAGGAGGACGACGACGACGACAAAGAAGAAGAAGAAGAAGAAGAAGAAGAAGAAGAAGAAGAAGAAGCAGAAAAGCAGAAGAAGCAGAAGACGGCTGGGGGGGCAGGTGACGGGGTTGGTGGAGCGTTGACGGGTGAGGCGGGGAAAAAAAGATGGCCAGGGGGGGAAGGTGACGGGTTAGGTGGGGCGTCGACGGGCAATGGGGGAGGCTGATGGGAGAGGGGGGAGCTCGTTGCGCGGGGCAAGTTTGAACTTCGAAGTTTGACTTCGAAGGTGTATGAAGAAGAAGAGGAGAAAATAAAGGAGAAGTATGTAGAACAAGAAGAAGAAGGGAGAGGGGGGAGGTTGATGGGCTTCTCTCTCTCTCTCTCTCAGCTTCTGGCCGTCACCACATGGTGCGCTCGCGGCTCAAACGTGCTCACAGCTCTAGTGCAGCAGGGGCTCTAGCAGGGGATGTTGCACTCGCAGCTGCTGCGCGCAATGTTGCGTTCGTCGAAGGTTGCAAGGGTCGCAGTGGCAGGGTGGGCGCGAGCAACAAAACCGAAGAAGTGGGAACGGGCGCGAGGAAGGGGGCAGTGGGAGGCACGAACGGGGCAAAATGATGTGGGCGATCCCACCCAAAGTTGTTTTGAATTGGCGGCCTATCCGGGCCACCCTTTTTCAGTCAACAAATGGGAACTACTGGGCCTGTTGCTTTTTTTTTTTTTTTTTTTTTTCCCCGGTGGTGGCGGCCTCACTGGAGCGCGCCTGCGATGTTTTCTCCCCGGTAACCCTCCGCTGCGGCCATCGGCGGGGAAGCTGGGCCAGTCCCCCGGTCGGGTCCGAGAAGCACGTCTTTTGCATAATTTTTTTTTCTAATATTTTTCCTGGAAAGATCAGCACCTGTATCTACGTGTCCTCTTTTTTTCATAATCCCCCCCCCCCTTTTCCCCCCAATTCTTCTGAGCGTGAAAAATCGCCAGACTTGGCACCTTTTCTTTTCCGAACCCCCGCAGGTCTCTGCATTGCATGGGCCTACCAGTCCCCAGACCCGGGCATTGCCAATTTCTGAAGTGCGGTTAGGCATTTCACGAGCTCCCTTCTCGGATGTGTCTGGTATCCTCCCTCCCTCCCTTTTCTGACTTGCGGGATCATTTTATTGAGCGAACCGTTTCTTGCTTTGGCTCTATCCCACAGGGCTATGATGATGACTCCATCGTAGGCTATACTATACTGTTTATAGTAGTTCTGCGCGAATACAAGCATGCAGCTTTCCTTCATTCACCGACCAAGGTGACCCTCGTTTTTGCTACTTTTTTGCGTCTGTTGAGGATATGAACTTATGAAGTCTCATACTTCATAGTGATTTGGCTCTGCGTCTGCATTCAGATAATCGATTGTTGCTTGCCTGTTAGAGCAGTCCTCCATTCCTGAACCAATTGACTGGCTTTGGGGCCTCTCTCTCTCTCTCTCTCTCTCTCTCTCTCTCTCTCTCTCTCTCTCTCTCT